CTTTTGCCTGCCAACAACTGTATGGTTGGTTATCAGGTAACTGAACAGATTGGAGCTGGGAACAAGTTATAGAGAAGTAATTTGATCGTCACCAGCGCAGAGTGGTCTCCCTGTTCTTTGCAGCCAAAACTCACTTTAAACTTGAAGAAAACCATTTAGTCATTCTTTCAGCAGTTGCTGTTAGCTGTGACTTTTAATTGATGAACCAGAGATATTTTACAAGTGAACCAACCAGCTTGTGCCTCTTGCAAACCAGTAGAAATATTCAGAAAAGGAAAGCTAAGAAGAGACTTTCAGTTCAACAAAAACCAACTCAATAGACTTGGGAGCAAAGACTGCTGAATTGTCTTTGCAGTTTTCTTTTCCTCATTCTGTATATTTTCCCCTGTCTGCACATCTGTCAGTCTGTATAGGAAGGGAAGTTCATGAAGGGATTAGAATTCTAATTAATAGTGTTAAATGTCAATGGCTTATAACTGTTTACTTGAAGTTAGAGTCTAATTACTTGTAATAAATAGTAACTCTTGTTAAGTGCAGAAATCTGGCCCGTGCTTTCTGGTAATTAGATCTGAAACTAAGGTAAATTGGGGAATATTGTGTACTTATTTTAAAATCTTTAATGTTTGTGACCAATCCAGAAATAGCAGGGCTTGATTTCCAGTGCACCATCTCTGTTAATGAGTTGTCAAACCTGAAGAAAATAACTTCTTTGGAATCATCCCTTTGAAACCCAAAAGGTTGTATAGTGCTTTACATCCAGTGTTATTAAAAAATAGTGCAGGGAAACTTTTCACACAGAGGCTGGTGGGTGTCTAGAAGGCACTGCCAGTAGAACTGGTGGAAGCAGGCATGTTAGCAATGTTTGAGGCTTATCTTGTTACATGCATGAACATGAGGTGAACAGAGGGATGGATAGCGCACATGGGCAATAAGTAGCGGGTCTTAATAAGGACGAGGAATTGGCGCAAGCTTGGTGGACTGAAGGGCCTGTTCCTGTGCTGTGTTGTATTATTTGGTGAAGGATTATGGGTAAATACATAATAATAGGTTTTATTGACTATCACAGTGGATGCTTTTGATTTCTTCCACCGCTACCTCACAATCTACTAAAACTGCTTCTAAAGAATGATTAATTAATACAAAATATATTCAATTAATGGAAAATCTTAAGATTTAAGCAACAGTTGCTGCACACATTGCATTTTGATTGCTTTTTAGAATTAATATCATGTGCTTGTTTAACTTTTTAAATGGATGCCTTCTGTTTCAGAAGAGAGAACAAAATAGGTCAAATTGTTTAATTAATTCACTGTAATTCACATGTTAATCTTCTTGGGTTGTGTGTCTCAGTACTCCATTAAGGATATATTTGTGTACTATGGTTTTGCAATATGATTCTCCATTGAGTTAAGGGTAATCATTATTGGCCAATGTTTGTATTTAATTTTCAAGAATGGATGTTTCTTTTCTTGGCCACTATATTAAGAGGACTAGTTTAACATAGATCATGCTTCCTGCTCAGGAAATTGAATAAAAATTGATGAGGCTACATGCTTTCTTTTACTGGACATTTTGTTGTGAACTGAGGGAAGGTTCCCCTCAGGGACACCAGCCTTCCATTAAAAATGATGTGAAAGGAAGTGGAAAGTTCATGTCTACCGTCGAGAATTGATAAAGTTGGGGAAAATTGTACTGAGTAATGTTATCATGCTGATTTTCAGGAAACTTGCAACGTATAATTCTTAATTAATACTGATTTTCAGGTTATTTCAGAACAAGATTCAAAGACAACAGTGAAGTGGATGTATTTACTCTGATTACAAAAGTTAACCAATGGATTGGTAAGCATTAAAGCAGTGCTTTGTTTTTAATTATGTGTGTAACTGACATGTAGCAACAAAAAAGAAACCAGGAACAAAACATTAAGAAGTGTAAAATATTCTCCAAATTGGAACTGCACATAAAAAAACAGCTTTTTGGCTGGATACCTACTTCATGCAGAATAAGCAGGACTTAGTTAATATGGTGATGGATGGAGCAAAATAAACCACTCAATCTATATAGCAGAGAGGGGAAGTTGAATTGATTGTGCTTGAAAGGTATAAAAAGAACGTGCATATGTTGGCCCAGATCTGGCCAGCAGTCTGAGGTGCTCGCTGTGACTATAACTTAAACTCCATTTCACATTTTTACACTGGAACTTTAGGAACTTCCTGTCCTGATTTTAGGATGCAACAATAAGTGAAGGTAGACTTGAGGGTTACTGGTGAGTTCCAGAAATGCTGAGGCCACACTCCTTTTGATCCTAGCACATGGAAACAATGCACCTTTGTATGCAGCAGCCTTGCAGAGTTGCAACGAGTTTATTTTGTGCTTAGACTTTTTTTCAACTAGTTTGAATCTTTCAAAAACTTCTAATTGCTTTAATGAGTTTAGTCATAGAGGTCTACAGCAAAGGAAAATGCCTTTTGGCTCATTAAGTCTGCACTGGTCAAGAACAACAACCTAAATATTCTACTTCCAGCACTTGGCCTGTAGTTGTGGTATGCCTAGGCATTACAAGTATACACCTAATTACTTATTAAATGTTATGAGGGTTTCTGCTTCTACCACCCTTACAGGCAGCAAGTTCCAGATTCCCACCACCCTCTGAGTGATTTTTTTTTCACATCTCCTCTAAACCTTCTGCCCCTTCCCTTAAATCTAAATCCACATCAAAGTTTGTGGAAACTTTAAGTAATTATGGAAAAGTTCTGAAATGAATTTAAAAAGTACTTGAAATAAGTGGCAAATTACAACTTATAATATTGTAATTTTAGCCAAGTAAGAAAAGTAACTTTTATTAAAACACTTTCATTGTTTTTATATGATTGCTTTAGACAGCTGGTGAGTATGGCAGTTCTAAAGGCAAATTGTTTATTTAGGGTGGGTGAATGCAGGAGAATCAGATGTTAATTGTTTAGCTGATTTCCTTGCAAATACATTTTGAGGCTTTTCCAATATAGCTTCTGTGGTTTATCACTTTCAATTATTCCTAATAAAGTTTGTGTGCACTTATAATTTTTCTGCCCTTGCCTTCTTTCCTCAAGACATTACTTTCAGGGATACTCTTCCACACTAGCTGTACACTGCCTAATCCAAGTAGCCATTGTTTGTGCATGAGTCTTGAAAGTTGATGTTGACGGACAAAACTTCCCTGTGTTTGCTGAAATTTGAAATAACAAGGTATAGAGACACATTCACATACATATAGTTTTGCATCCGCAATTTCTTAAAGCCAAAAGCCATCTTTCATTTTCTGCCCCTGAACCTTTCTGATAGTGTGGATTTTTTGACCAGGTTAAAATTTAAACACAAAGTCCCTGATTTTGGCCATGATTGAAAATGTCTCCTCTGTGGTGAAATTGATGAAAGAAGTCAGGTGGCCTCTGTCCAGTGCCCCCCAAGCCCCCAAAACACCCTACCACCCTCCAACCACCACCTCCATACCTAAATCTCATGTTTCTCATTTTCAATGGGGTTGCATTGCAGACAGGCCATATTCTCTGATGCATGGTTCCTGGAGGTAGTTGACCATTCAAATGACTGGTCTCCACTGAAATGCTCTGCTTCAAAAACACTGAGTGTGGAAATTAGACCAGGTAGGTTGAGGTCTGACGTCAGTGCATTTACTTTGGATAGCCAGAGTACTTTTCTGTAGAACTCAGGTACTCCTGCGGATATGGTCTCAGGGCAGCTTGGGAGTGTAGTGTGGGATACTTTGGTGGCGATGAAGGGGAGGTTGTTCAGGTGGTCTTTTGGACTGTTATCTGTGGAGATGGTTATGCATGACAGGTGCATATGCCCCTTGGAACTGTCTAACCTCCCAAGATTTGTAACAATCATCAACCAGTTATGAAGTGTCAAGAATGTCAACAAGTGGCAAAATCTGTCAACAAATGTGGACCTGTCAAGAAGTGTCAAAATATACATTTATGTATGAGAGTGCTATTTTCAACAGCATGTGGTCTGCGTTATAAAAATTTAAATAATAGAACTAACATTTCTCCTATACTTACGAGTACTTGTGGGTACTCAATGAGAAAATAAATAAGAAATTCTGCTATGCTAATATATCCTTTATAGTGGACTAATATTTTACCAATAACAGATGTTAAGCTAACTGGCCTATAGTTGTCTGTTTTGTTTTTCTCCTTTTTAAGAAAATGTGCCATTTTTCTTTCCTTTGGGACTTGGAAGATTACGATGACTCATCCACTATCTCTGTGCTATTGTGCTATATATTTTTATATATCCCAGGATGCAGTCTGTAAGGTCTAGGGGCCTTGTTGGTATTTAGCCCTCTTCATTTCTTTGGTATTATTTCTCCAGAGATAGTTTTTGCATTTATTTCCTCTCCTTTTATCCCTTGATTATTTGGTAGTTTTGGAATGCTATTAGTGTCTTCTGCTGTGAGACTGATGCAAAGTATTCGTATGTGCCTCCAAAATGTGACATAACAATATGCCATTGAACATTTATATGAAACAAAACCCAGGAATAGCACAACATTGTAGTTGCTAATGTATTATGGGGAAAACCTCTGGGTGGGAAAAATGTCTCCGTGGAACCACTTAAAAATTACCTCTTAGAATTTGTAAACAAATGCAAGTTGCTTTTCCAGCTGTTTATTTTCAGTTTCAAAGGAGATATTGTAATATTTTCCTGCAACAAATTTTATGCTATTAAATCTTAATTTTGCATTTAAAAAGAATGGAATATTACTATTTGACCTTTGCCAAATTGACTTGAAATGGAATGTATTATGACTGCTTAGAGACATGAATTCAAGTTATCTTTGCTGTGGATGGTGGATAAATATAAATATATCATGTAATCTCAAGAACACCCTGTGGCTGCTGTAAAATCTGGTTGAATCTACAGATTGCATATTTATATTTTATATTTTTAGCATTTAGAACTTCTTTCTTACCTTAGGGGAAAATGACAAAAAAGATATAATGTATGGAGATATTGCAGTTGGAAGTTCCAAAAATGCCAAGAAGTGTTTACTTGGTCCCAGAACATGCCTGTGGCCTCGTTCAAGTGATGGGATTGTTTATATACCATATACAATCGACGAAAGTTTCAGTAAGCTAAACTACAATTTTTAACACTTGCTCCAGATTATAGATAAATATTTAATCTTGTAATAATTATGATGAAATGTTACCCAGTGACATCCAATTGAGGAAGTGATAGACTATTGTTGCTAGACTGTTAATCCAGAGACGCATAGATTATCTGGGGACCTGGGTTCAAATCCCACCTGCATTTTGGTAAGGCAAATCAGGGCAGGATTTATACACTTAATGGTAAGGTCCTGGGGAGTGCTGCCGAACAAAGAGACCTCAGAGTGCAAGTTCATAGTTCCTTGAAAGTGGAGTTGCAGGTAGACAGGGTAGTGAAGAAGGTGTTAGCCAGTGCATTGAGTATAGGAGTTGGGAAGTTATGTTGTGACTGTACAGGACATTGGTTAGGCCAGTTTTGGAATACTGCATTCAATTCTGGTGTCCCTGCTATTGGAAGGATATTGTGAAACTTGAAAGGGTTCAGAAAAGATCTAAAAACCGAAAAAAAACTGCACATGCTGTAAATCAGGAACAAAAACAGAAGTTGCTGGAAAAGCTCAGCAGGTCTGGCAGCATCTGTGAAGAAAAGATCAGAGTTAACGTTTTGGGTCAGGTAACCCTTCCTTAGAACTGTTGCCTGCCACTATAATTTTAAGGCCTAATCTCTTCCATGTTCTAGTCCCCTACTCCACACACCAGGCCTTCTTATCACATAGCCTGCAATTAAACACTACCTATTGTTAGCCACTAACAGTGCCCATTAACAGCTATTCACCCTCCCAGCCAGATCGTTATCAACACCTTTGTCTATCCATCCGCTCTTCTTTCTCTTCGGGCTTTATCCTTTATCCTACTGTTTACTCCCTTCCCAATTCCCCTCCATATTTTCTGCATATAAGCCGATGTTTTCCCAGTTACCATCAGTTCTGGGAAAGGGTCACCTGACCTGAAACAGTAACTCTAATCTTTTCTTCACAGATGCTGCCAGACCTGCTGAGCTTTTCCAGCAACTTCTGTTTTTGTTTCAGACAAGATTTACAGGGATTGCCAGAGTTGGAGGGTTTGAGCTGTAGGGAGTGGCTGAATAGGCTGGGGCTATTTTCCTTGGAGAGTTGGAGGCTGAGGGGTGACCTTATACAAGTTTATAAAATCATGAGGGGCTTGGATAGGGTGACTAGCCAAGCTCTTTTCTCTGGGGTAGGGGAACCAAAACTAGAGGGCATAGGTTTAAGGTGAGAGGGAAAAGTTTTAAAAAGGATCTAAAGGGTAACTTTTTCTCACAGAGGGTGGTGCGTGTATGGAATGAACTGGCAGAGGAAGTGTTGGAGACTGGTACAATTACAACATTTAAAAGGCATCTGGATGAGTATATGAATGGGAAGGGTGTAGAGGGATATGGGTTAAATGCTGGCAGATCGGACTAGATAAATTTAGGCTATTTGGTCGGCATGGACGAGTTGGACCATGCTGTACATTTCAATGACTCTATGACTGTAAATGTTTGGCCATCCAACACAGTTTAAAAAACATCTGCTCTGTCATGTTCTAATATGTTGACAGGGTAATTAGCAATATAATAAAACTGTGAAACCAAGGAATTTGTTTTTCCAGTTTAGATCTAAAATCATATAATTTTACAATTGCCTGTACCAGTTCCCAAAAGGGCTACCCAGCTAGTGTAATTCTCAAGCCCTATCTTTGTGTGCCCTCTAAATCCATTGAATCCTCTGGTGGAATCTGCGTCAACCACCCTCCCAGGCAGTGTACTCCAAATCCTAACAACTCTCTGACTAAAAAAGTTTCTACTTATCTCACTCCTAGCTGTCTTGCTGACAATCTTGACAGTGTGACCCCTAGTTACTGACATACCAACTAGTAGAAACATTCTGTACCCTTCAAAAATGTTTAGAAGTTTGAACACTGCAATAAGGTCAGCTCTTAATTGCCTCTGTTTCAAGGAGAATAAGCCCAATTTCTCTAATCTTTCCTTTTATCTGAAATATCTCAATCCTGGTATCATTGTAGTAAATCTCCGTTGCATTCTCTCCAGGGATTTAACATAATTCCTTAAATAAGGTGTCCAGAAATGAATGCAATACTCCAAATGTGGTCTGACCATTGATTTGAGGCGAAACATCACTTCCTTGTTTTTATAGTCTTTGCTTCTATTTGTAAACCCATGGATCCTATAAACCTGTTTGACAACTGTTTCAACTTGCCTGGCCACCTTCAAAGAATTATGCACTTGACACCCGAGGTTGCTCTGCTCCTGAACTCCTCTCAAAGTTGTACCAGTAAGACACATTGTGTCTCCATGTTTCTTTGATCAAAATGCATTAATAGAATAAAGATATGTAATAATACATATAATAATAGAATTTATGCCATTTCACCTTTTGACCCAATGCAACAAATATTCCACAGTGTTTTTCTTCTTTGGAAAGCTTATATCCGTTACTGTGTTCAGTTATTCCCGACTGTAGTGCCATGGCTTACCAATGTCAGAGATATGCATATGCAACCCTGAAGTTCTAGTTCCCCAACTTTTGAAGTTCCCATCAACTTTGTGCACTCTTATTTACAAAACCTATTTCTAGAAGGGTGGCACGGTGGCACAATGATTACCACTGCTGCCTCACATTGCCAGCGACCTGAGTTTGATTCCAGTCTTGGGTGGCTGTCTGTGTGGAGTTAGCATGTTCTTCCCATGTCTGTGTGGGTTTCCTCCAGGTGCTCTGGTTTCCTTCCACGGTCCAAAGCAGTGCAGGTTAGGTGGATTGGCCAGACTAAATTGTCCATCCCAAATTACCTAGGGATATGTAGATTATGTAGGTTAGTCATAGGAAATTCAGGATTACAGAAATAAGGTTAGTGGGGTCTGGGTGGTTTGTCCTTTGGGGGGTCGGTGTGGGCTTGAAGGGCCGAATTGACCTGCTTCTGCACTGTGGGGATTCTATGATTCTATAAATATTAGCAGTCTGTATTAACATAATAGTCTATTCTGACAGATACATGAAATTTGGTGTCTGTACCTTAGCTGACCACTCTCCCAAAAGAATGTGCAATAAAAGCAGAATGTCACCCAGCATTTTTATTCTGGTTTTGTTTGTAGGATTTTTGTGTTGTCGCATTATATTTCATTATGGCTAGTAAAGAATACCAGCGCAAATCAATGCCATAAAATAATTGTTAAATTCAATGTTCCTTATTATGTTTTCATAACAACAGGTAAATATCACCAAAGTATAATACAGCGCTCTATGAAGGAGTTTGATTACCTAACATGCATTAAGTTTGTCTATAGACGATATGAAAGAAATTACATCAAAATTATTTCACAAAACGGGTGAGTGGAGAATGATACCTCATGAATTTGTGTTGTCTTGTGTCCATTATACTTAGTTTTTTTTCTGAGAATATAGAATTGTATATTCAGAGCACAATATTTGGATCTGAAACTGATGTCTTAAACAATTAGCTGGTAGTACAGAATTTGAGTACTGCTGAAAGAGCATTCATGTTGTCAAACGTTTTGGCCTGCATCCATCACAACAATTCAGAAGAATACCAATAAAGGGAAATATCAATATTTATAATGTAGGAAAGGAGAGTGCTGATTAGCTGACAAGTGGACTCTGATTAGGAGAGATGTTGCCATGGAGAATGTATCAGTTAATCACGATTGACATTTAACTGCCAGGCTTTGTTTTGGCTTTAAACCATGCAAACTGACTCTGATTGGTTAGGAGATTGCCCTGAGAAATAAGACAGCCAACTGCTGCCACCTGTTTCATTGAGTTGAAAGAGTACAGTGTGCATCTTTTTAAAATTGTTTTAAACTTTAAAAAGGAAATTACAAAGTCAAAAGACACAGTTGGCAATGGTGAACTGTGGAAAAAAAAACTACTAAAATGTAAGAGTAAATACGCAGTGGCAGACATTTGAGAAGATTTAAATCTCAACAATTATATATTCCACTGAGATAGAAAATCTTTACAAATAAGATGCACCACCTGTGGTTAACTGCTGAATAAGTAAATGATGGAATAAAATGGAAACAAAAAATGGAAACAAAGGATCTATTGTACAGAAGATTGGGACAAGTAAAGAAACTAGCAAACAGTGACAAATAAAAAAAATAGAAATGAGAATACAAGCACAAACTGGCAGGAAATATAAAAACAGACAGTAAGACCAAGTATTTAAAAGGAATAGTGTAGTTAAAGTAATGTATAATGTGAATAGTTGTGATCCCAACACTGACCCCTGAGGAATTCTGTTAGTGGCTGCTATCCTGAAAAAGACCCCTTTCTCCCTACTCTCTGCCTTCTGCCAGTCAGCCAATTTCTATCCTTACCAGTATCTTGCCCAACACCATGGCTCCTTATCTTTTGTAGCAGCCTCCTGAGCAGCACCTTGTCAAAGGCCTTCTGAAAATCCAAGTGGGTCATGTCCACTGATTCTCCTTTGTCTAAGCCACTCATTATCTCCTCAAAGAATTTGAACAGATTTGTCCTCTAGATGAAACTGTGCTGGCTCAGCCCTGTATTGCCATGCACTTCGAAATACTCTGCAATTGTCTCCTTAATAATAGACTTAAAATCTTACCAACGACCGAGGTCAGGCTAATCTTTGCAAGCCCTCAAAGTTTATTTTCTTTAATATTAAACAATAGTCTTGGATCCATTCCTCTCTCTCAAAGTGAAAGTAAAATTCAGTCAGCTCTTCAAGGCTTGTAACCAGTTTCAGCCCCTTCTACAGCCTGATTGAATCTCACCTTTAATTGTTACAGTCTGGCTTTAAATGGTACTGGCTTTAGACAGACCTGAGATATTTATTGAGGGATTCAGGTACTAAACAGCCTGTTCAATGTTGGGTTACATTTGCATGCTACCTGTGCCAATTTGAAAAGATCTGTTTTAATATCTGAACTCAATGTCAAGGGCTGTCCAGTTTAGACTCCAAGAATTTAATGGGAACTTGCTAGCCATTTCGTACAAAATAGTAAGTGGAAGAATTTTAAATTGAGAATTGAAACATGATATTTAACCATGAATTTTATTGCTGAAACTGATTCTGATACCTGTTGAATATCCTACATTGTATATTTTTATGCAGTGGCTCATTAGATAGCATCCAGGAGCAGGTACCCGAGCTGAATTTTCTTACTTTCCTGGGAATACTGAGGAAATTTTAAATACCCCTATTGTTCTCCAGGCATATTGTAACTAACTCAGCACAAAGAAGAAATTGTGTCTGGGACCCAGAATGTATGGTACACTGCAACACCATTTCACAAGTTTATTCATTGAGCCATTGGAATATCCTACAAAAATTAATTAAATTCCACATTAATACTGGCAATTTTAGTGTAAAGATAACAACTAATATTTAATCTGATTTCAAGGATAGAAATATTAATTAAAAAGTTTAATTTTTTTGATTTTTAGCTGCTGGGCAAATGTGGGATATAATAGATGGGCACAGTTTGTTTCATTGGATAGAACTGGCTGTATTCGACCTGGCATTATACAACATGAGTTACTCCACACAATTGGTTTTAATCACGAGCAAAGTAGAAGTGACCGTGACAATTATGTAACCATCATTCATAAAAATATTATGAAAGGTAAGCATTCTTAAGGTATTTTTTCTCCAAGTGAAGTTAACGGAGGCAGTAACTGGAAGTTAAGAAAGAACATTTATGGACAATCAATAAATGCTAAATATACTAAATTAACATTTTTCTTGGTTTTCACAGAATGTGTTCTGTAGGATTTGAAAGATTTGTAGAGAAAACAGTAGTTTTCATAGTCCTTTGATAGGCCTTTAGTTTGGGCCAAAAATGCTCCCTGAATGAAATTGAGTCACATTTTCTAGTTCTTGCGATACAAGAATTCTGGAGCAGGCACCACCTTGTAATCATGTCAGTCTCATGAATAGCAATGTAATGATGGACACAGCAGTTACTGATAATTATGGAAATATTTCCTGGTATGTACTGTCAAACTCCAGTTAACCTATCTAGGTATTGAAAATACATGTTCACTAGCATAAAAGTTATATGGACCTCATTGAAGTGCTCCTGTTTGGTGTTTGGAAATTTCTAAAATGGTTGGCAGGTATAGAATAAAAGGTTAACTACTGAGCATATATAGGTAGCTAATGATGATGTCATTATCCCATGTTTATATGAGACTCTGATAAGGGGCAGCAGCTTAAACCACATGCTTAGAATGTATATTGTCAATGAGATGTAAATAAAGAACTATATTAAAAAGTCCTTAGAGTTGACCCAAACCTCTTTTATCGTGAAGTGTGCTTTAACAATGTTCTACAAGACACCGCATGATAATATGAGAAATGGAGTTCACATTTTAAAAATTTGTTGATGGGGTGCAAACTTTGCTGGTTCGGCTAGCATCTGTTGTCCATTCCTTGTGCCTGGGTACAGAGGGCCCACAGTACCGCAGCGAAGGAAGTTCCAGGATTTTCACCAGCAACTGTGAAGGAATGGAGATATAGTTATATGTCAGGATGATATGTGTCTTAGAGGAAAACTTCCATGTTGCAGTGTTCCCATACATCTACCACCTTTGTTGTAGAACTCATAGGTTTGAAAGGTGCTGTCTAAGGAGTCTGTAATGCATCTCGTAGATGGTACACATTAATGCCTCAGTGCATCGGTGGTGAAGGGAATGAATGTTGGATATGGTAGTCACTCAAGTGGGCTGCTTTGTTCTTCATCAAACGTCTGAAGTGTGGTGGAGCTACACTTATCAAGGCAAGTGGAGAGTATCCCATCACATTCCTGATTTATGCCTTGTAGTTGCTGAACATGCATTAGGGAAACGGGAGGTGAGTTACTCGCTGCAGAATTTCTAGCCTCTGATTTTGATTTGATTTGATGTGGTTTGATTTGATTTGGTTTGATTTATTTATTGTCACGTATTTTGTTACAAAATACAGTGAAAAGTGTTGAGAGTGGTGACACTATACCAGTGCCATCTTAAAACACAGAAAAATAAACCAAAATATAAGAAGAAGAATAAAGAAGTTAAAAAAAAGTGTTCAATTTTACAGTCCATCTTGTTAGTGCTGCACCATAGGCCTTGGGCCTGGTAGCCAGGCACGAGACCCCTTCACCACTGCCACAGCTGCTGGAACGAAAGCAAACATTCTTCGGCGCCATCTTGCCTCCACCAATGCTTTCACCTCTATGAGTCCTTGCTGGACCTTGCTTGTGCAGATGCTACGTACCATGCTGGCCCAAACTCGATTCTGTCACCATCATAAATCCATTTGAAGCTTGCCGATCCAGACGCTACCAATGCCGCCAGGTCTTGGACTGGGCCCAAACTCACCTCTGTCCCCACCTGCATGAATCTGCACTGAATGCAGATGCTGCCAGGAAGCCAAACACTGTTCAGTTACCCTAATGCACTTTATTTGTACGATTGCCCTGTAATGCAAGTAAGACAACACTTTTCACTGTACCTCAGTACACATGACAGTAATAAATCAAATGAACTCGCCTCTGCCACAGCAGCCGTGAGTCAGCGCTAGAACCGCCTCGTCAGTGCAGAAGCCAACGGGAACCCAAACTCTCTCTACACTGCTGCCACGGGTCTGCACTCGGCCCACTAACTGACTGCCAGGAGTCTTCGCTGGGTCCAATCATTGACCGCCAAGAGTCTGCTCTGGGCATACTTGCTGCCACCGATGCTGTCACCACAACCAAGCTCTTCAACAAGAGGTAAGTAAAATAAAAAAGAGAAAAGAGACAAAAAAGGAAAAGAAACAAAAAGAAAAGTGGGTGGAGCGGATGATCCCTGGACTCAGAAGCCCCCCATCTGGACCTGCTCTCGGAACCACTGTATCTATTCGACTAGTCCAGTTCAGTTTCTGGTCAATGGTGACCTCCAGGATATTGATAATGAGGGTTTCATTGACTGTAATGACTTTGAACATCAAGGGATGATGGCTTGCTTCTTTTTTGTTAGAAATAATCATTTGCTTGGCACTTATATGGCACAAATTTCACTTGCCATTTATCAGCTCAAGTCTGGATACAGTTCAGGTCTTTGTGCAAAGAGCACTTCAGTGATTGAGGAGTTGCAAATAGTGCTGAACATTGTGCAACCATCAGTGTACATTCTGACTTCTGATGTTATTATGGAAGGAACATCATTGATGAAGTAGTTAAAGATGGTTAGCCCAGGGCAATATCTTGAAGAACTACTGGAATGATGTCATGGGACTGAGATGATTGTTCTCCAACACTACTCATCTTCCTTTGTGCTGGATGTGATTCCAACCAACAAAGAATTTTCTGCCTGATTTCCATTGACATCAGTTTTAATTAAATCGTTGATCCCATACTCAGGTCAAACGCTACCTTGATGTCAAGGACATGTGGAAGCCCCCGGCACTGATCTACTGCAGGTCCTTTATAGAAAGACCGTAATGTTTATCTTTTTAACTTTATTTCTTATTTTTCTAACTTATACTATGAATAACTGTAAGGTAATGTAATTTTTTCCTTTTTTTTCCTTTATTTCTCTATTTTATATCTAACATTTGTAACAAGGTACCTAAGACGGCGCCACCCAAACATGGGGCGACTTTGTAAACTTTTCACTGTACTGTAATTCTGTACTTGACTACACATGACAATAAAGGAAATTCTATTCTATTCTTCTTTTCTCCGCTTTTTTTGAACAGCAACTAGGGACTGGTAATGAATGCTGGCCAGCCAGCGATGCCCACATTCCACAAATGATTTTTTTTAAAAAGTGGAGAAAAGAGTTGAGGTGAGAGTTTGAACTAAGGCTATATGAGATCAGGAGCAGAATTGCCCTGAAACTGAGTATCAATAAACCAGTGATAACCAGGTGTAGAGTTGGATGAACACAGCAGGCCAAGCAGCATCAGAGGAGCAGGAAAGCTGACGTTTCGGGCCTCGACCCTTCTTCAGAAAATTCAATGAACCAGTTACTGCTTTACAAGTGCTGATTGATAGCACAGTTAATGACTGCTTCTGTCACTTTATTGGTTATTGAAAGTAGACAAATAGGACAGTAATCAGAGGAAGAAAACCTCCAAAGCCTGCAGGTAAGTTGCAAGTCTTTCTCCATTTCTTGGTTGAAGTCATTGGGAAACCTTTAAAGTTTCTGCTTCTCAGTATTTTCACTACCTTGGAAATCCTGAGGAGCAGAATTGAGAACCACTTTCCAAACGCTTGTAACCAGTTTGATTTCCATCTGAACCGAAGCTTGCTTAGAAGAGCTATGCCCGTTTCTATCTCCTTCCCAAAATCCATAAACCCGACTGCCCTGGCCGACCCATTGTCTCTGCCTGCCCCTGCCCCACCGAACTTATCTCTGCTTATCTCAACTCTATTTTCTCCGCCCTGGTCCAGGAACTCCCCACCTACGTCGGGGACACTACCCATGCCCTCCACCTCCTCCAAAACTTCTGATTCCTTGGCACCCAACACCTCATCTTCACTATGGACATCCATACCCTGTACACTTGAATTCTCCACTTCTTCCTGTCCCGCAGGCCCAACCAGTTCCCCACTACCGACACCCTTATCCACCTAACCGAACTCATCCATACCATTAACAATTTCTCCTTCAACTCCTCCCACTTCCTACAGAATAAGGGGATGGCCATGGGTACCTGCATGGGCCCAAGCTATGCCTGCCTCTTTGTCGGATACATGGAACAGTCCATCTTCCGCAGCTACACTGGCACTATCCCCCACTACATCGATGACTGTATCGGTGCCGCCTCGTGCTCCCCACGAGGAGCACAAACAGTTCATCAACTTTACTAACACCTTCCAACCCAACCTCAAGTTCACCTGGACCATCCCTGATACCTCTGTTTCCTTCCTGGACCTCTCTGTCTCCATCTCTAGTGACCACCTCGAAACTGATATCTATTTCAAGCCCACCAACTCCCACAGCTACCTGGACTACACCTCCTCTCACCCACCCTCCTGCAAGAATGCGATCCCCTACTCACAATTCCTCCGCCTCCACCGCATCTGCTCCCAAGATGAGGCGTTCCACTCGCGAACATCCCAGATGCCCTCGTATTTCAAGGACGGCAACTTCCCCCGCTCAGTGGTTGAAAACGCCCTCAGCCGTATCTCTTGCGTTTCCCGCACCTCAGCCCTCACACCCCCTCCTCACAATAAAAACAAAGACAGAATTCCCCTTGTCCTCATGTACCACTCCATTAACCTCTGGATTCAACGCATCATTCTCCGCCACCTGCAATCTGACCCCACTACGAAGGATATATTTCCCTCCCCACCATTATCTGCCTTCCAGGGGGACCGCGCTCTCCGCAACTCCCTCGTCCGCTCCATGCTCCCCACTAGCCCCACCACCCCCGGCACCTTTCCCTGCAACCGCAGGAGGTGCTACACCTCCCCCCTCACCTCCATCCTAGGTCCCAAAAAAACCTTCCACATCAAACAGATGTTCACTTGCACATCCGCTAATGTGGCCCATTGTATCTGCTGTTCCCGATGTGGCCTCCTTTACATCGGTGAGACCAAGCTGAGGCTCGGAGACCACTTTGTAGAACACCTATACTCGGTTCGCGACAAATGAC